GTTTCTTAGAAAAGCGTGGCAAAATTTTTTAAGTTCATTCCCAAATATGGAAAAATTCATAGCATCGACAAACAGGAAGTAGCTATCTGACAGATCCGAAAAGTGTTCACACAGTACAACTCATTCTGTTCATTAGTTTCTTAGAAAGGCGTGACGAAAAAATGAAAGTTCATTTACAATATGGAAATATTCAAGGAAGCAGGTATCTGACAGATCCAAAAAATGCTCGAACGTTTCAACTCATCTAGAATGGTTTCCTTCGGAAAAATGTTCCGTATGCCTTCGCAATATACAAATAACGGACAGATACCAGTCTACAACTCATCACTGTCAAGCTGCTGGCCAAATATGAGTGCATTCTGTTGATTAGTTTCTTAAAAAAGTTTGACGAAAATGTTTGTTGGATGAATTGACGTACGGACTAGGTGATTGTAATATAGTTCCCACTTTAATAGTGGTGGTATAATAATTTCCGTGAAACTATGTCGGTGTCAATTATGGTTCAACAATGAAACTGTCCTATTTCAGTCGTAAAAGAATTTCTATATGGATTTGCTTAACTTCTTGTGAATTAAAGCCAATTTAAATGCAAAACATTTTTTCTTGATCGTTAATGATTCTTTAGATCTTTGAATACTATAGGGTTCTTGCACTAATACTGAGGGATCCAAAGACTAGTTCAATACCTTTTATGATATAATACCAAATATTTCAGCAACATTGACGACACTTCGTCTAATTCCTGCAGCTGATGCCTGCAATAAGGACGCACCGCCATTTTGTTCATCTCTCTTCTGTTGGCATGCAAACATCGTTTTACACGGAACCTCTCCAGTGCATACCAAACATTAAGGAGAAAATGTGGAATGATCAAGATGGAATATTTTAACTCATTGGAAATGCTTTACTTTTATTTAAGGTATTTTTAGTAACAAAAAACAAAAAAAAAAAACAGTAAAAATTTTACAAAGCAATCTTCGTGAAATATTATAGAAAACTGTATGCCTAGAAAATCATCCTAACAATGTTTGAGTAGATTTGATTTTTGTCGAGCCTGTGACATTAATGTCGCGAAAGCGAGACATAGCAATCCTAGATTCCGTCGTCGGCGTCAGCGGCGGCGACGTCAACATTTAGGATAAGTCTGTGGTTAAAGTTTTTTTTAGACATCAATAACTTTGTCAAACCTTCATGAAGTTAATGAAATTTGGACAGAAGCTTGTTTATGACCAAAATACAGTATCCACAGCAAAATTTTGAAAACATTTATTTTCATTTTTCCGTATTTTACTGATAAATGGACTTAGTTTTTTTTACAGTTAACAAGTAGAATCAGTCTGAGGTTAAAGTTTTTCAGTCATCAATAACTTTGTCAAACCTTCATGGAATTTTATGAAATTTGGACATAAGCTTAGTTACTAGTATGACCAAAATACAGTATTCAGAGCAAAATTTTGAAAATATTTGTTTTCATTTTTCCGTATTTAACTGATAAATGGACTTAATTTGTTTACATTTAACAAGTAGATACAGTCTGGGGTTAAATATAAAAATAAGGAGATGTGGTATGATTGCCAATGAGACAACTATCCACCAAAGTTCAAATTAAGTGGATGCAAGCAATTATAGGCAACCGTACGGCCTTCAACAATGAGAAAAACCCATACTGTATATTCGGCTATAAAATTCCCCGACATGAAAAATATGAAACAATTCAATTGAGAAAACTAACGGCCTAATTTATAACAATACAATTTACGAAAAAAAAATATGACATGAACCAACGACAACCACTGAACTACAGGCTCCTGACTTGGGACAGGCACATACATAATGTTCCGGGGTTAAATATGTTTGTGAGCACTCAACACTCCCATAACCTGGGACAGTTGTGTAACAGCAAAACATAAGAACAAACTATAAAAATCAGTTGAAAAAGGCTTAACTCATCAGATCGATATAGAGCAGAAAAACATCAAACAAAAACACAGACCGGACGTGGCAGGGTATTTATCCATCCCTCATCCCTAACAACAAAAAAGACACTAGGTACAGATCAGAGAGTTGTCGCGGTTACTGACAGCTAGTTCAAAGCCAATAACAACTAATGAAAAAAATCATGGATTTAGTGTAAAGACGTCATTAACAGTCAGAGAAAAACATGACCTTGTGCAATGCCAAAATATAGGTCTTGACAGATTGTAGTACCATGAAATAACATATGTGTATGACAATAATATTTAGTATGGTTTTAATTTACTGCTAACAAAATCAATAATTATACCAATAAAAACAATATTCAAAGATTTAATTACAGTGTTGAATTGGTAACCTTTCAAAATAAGTTTATTCAAAGAATTGATAAGTTTACCTGGATCGGATCTAAATTTCCGGGCTCGGTTAACAACATCACGTAAAATTTTAGGATGTGCTCTACAGGTACTGCCAAACTTGCAAACCAAATCTTTGTATCTTTGGAAGAATTTAGTAAATGTTTTAAGTAATTTGTGGTAACGAAATCCCTTACTTAATAATTTACTAGTAATACATAGATTACGCTCATTGAAATCCAAAACATCACTACAGACTAAAGTTTGTTACACATCAATTACTTTGACAAACCTTCATAGAATTTTATGAAACCCTGGCAGAAGCTTTTTTATGATTAAGAGATAATGTCTGAAGCAAACTTTTGAAAATATATTGTTTTCATTTTCAGTATTTTTCTGATAGATGGACTTAGTTTTTTACAGTTAACATTAAACTTTTTGAACATGATAAATTTGTAAACCTTCATGGATTGTTTTGAAACTTGGACAGAAGCTAATCTTCAAGACCATGAAAAAGCATCTAAAGAAAAAGTTTGATTTTTTTTTAATTTAAATTCAGTGTTTTACTGATAGATGGACTCACTTTTTAAGTCAACATTACACCTTTACACTGACAGCAGCAATCGCAGGCGAGACATTCGCGGAACCCCTTACAAATTGTTTACTCCTTCCCAACCGTTGCTGGAATCTGTACTTTGTACTTCTCACTTCTACGGCAACACCGCCTAGCCGCAGACGCCTTATCCCCTCCTCTAGCTTTCGTTTCGGGAGGTGTTACCTTCTCGTAGGTATTAAACATTAACGACTTATCACAATACAATAAGTATTTTTAAGTGTACATGAATGATCATCTACTCATCTCTTTAGTATAATTGCAGGACGCTATTCTTTTTTTAGAAGCATACAATCACTATGAATGTCTGCCTATGTGAAGTGACAACTGCAAATTATACCTTGTCCATCGGATTTCTTATGATTAAGAAATACCAGTGCGTTGAAAATCATATATATATATATATATTCTCGCTGCGTTGAAGACCCATTAGTGGCCTTGGGCTGTTTTCTGCTCTTTGGTCGGGTTGTTGTCTCTTTGACACATTCCTCGTTTCCATTCTCTCAAATTTAGCCCAACAATGTTAGATCTGCAAATTTGTTTCATCTTTTTGTTCTTCGCTAAGTGGAATTCGAACCCCTGCTTCTGTGACATCGTCGCAACACCGCCTGTACTGTGTCTAGCCCTAAACCACTTTACCAACTAGGCTATAGACTATAGAAATATAGCTTTTGTTAGTTGAGAAATGTCTTTCCTCGTCTGCTTTATCTAGGGTTGTTACACTGCAACACAGTACATGGTGTGTAGTGGCAAATAGGATGGTATATCTTTTAGATCAGCTATGTTTTGTCCGTCGTAATGGACGATAATGTAATTACCATGCCGTCACATCAAATTATAATGTTATTATATACGTCTAAACATGCACCATGATATTATGTATAATTCGTTTCAAATTTAGCCCAACAATGTTAGATCTGCAAATTTGCTAACGCAATTTTTTGTTCTTCCCTCAGCGGGATAATATATCTATTTTCTTTTGCATCTGAGTTTTTCGGTTTTTACTTGCTTATAAACATGCACATTTCCGCCTTTCGTTCGTCTAAAAAATTGCACGCCTATATTTTAATTATTTAAAGCAGTTATTAATAGTATATTATGTATAGAAATGCAGGACTATTTTTGTTTTCTCATGCAAATGTAACTTATATCAGTGACAATGCACCTACCTCATGAAATTGCAGTAATTCCGAATACATTTATGGCCCCAGTTCCCATGTTATAACAGGAGACCTTAACATCGTTCGTGACCGAGAGTTGAAATCATTCCCCCGTCAATTATTAATTGGAATGAGTGTCGTAACATCATCCACGACTCACTCCGTACTTACTGCTCTAAATGAACAAGAAATCATTAGATTCTTTTTTTAATTCGGTAATGAACATAGTTGATATACGTATTCAACATCAACCATAATAGCCAAGTTTCTCGTATCAAACATAAGCTAAAAGAACTCGCCAAGGAATTTGACGTCACAACTTAAATCCCTAACATCGGAAACGTTTTCGTATTTCCGTTTCCTTTTTTACAGATTCTGGAGTTAAAATATGCTTTAAGTTTAATTAAAAAAATAATTTATACGGACTTCGTCCCGTTTCACATGTAACACCTGATCACGAATCAACCAGTTCAATTGACACATACATGTGTGACTAGATTACAAAAATATTTTGTTGAAAATCTATCTAGCAAAAAGTTTAAATAATTAAAGGTTCAATATGAAAGGTTTTTTGATTATGTAGGCATATATGATAAATAATTATCAGTGAACCCTTACCATATCACTCAAAAATACTATGTAGTATGTTTGCTAATTAAGAAAATTTTAAATAGGATGCAAACAAAAAACAAAAAGTTTAAATATAAAATAAATATTAGTTCACTTAAAAAAAAAAACAACATATGTGACTAGATCAAGTAAATATTGTGTAAAAATCTATTCAGCACAAAGTTTAAATAGTTAAAGGTTTCTATTAAATATAAAAAACAAACTCCATTTATTGACCCTATAACGTTCATTAATAACTGGTTTCCATTTAAAAATTAGCATGTTCGATTTGGTTGTAGTTTATAGGTGACAATGTGGAATGTTGGACATTACACATAAAACGCTTTGGGATATTTATATCTTGTCATTCTAGGCTATCAAACCAATGATAACAGTGGGGTAAGAAGTTATTTATTTTTAAGTTTTCCATTGGAAAATTATTCAATTCAATTCAATTCATAGTATTTTGTTGTTCAAATAAAACGTACATTTAAAAAAAGGAGTCGGACAAATTGCAAAGCTTATACAACATGGATTAATTTATCTGATACTATTTAATATATTTTTGATAGTTCATAGATCATTCATTATTGCAGAGAGTCAGGGGAGGCAATATCCCTTCTTGAAATTTTTACTGTGTAGGCATATATAAGAAATAATTACGAGTGAACCCATGCTAGTTCCTCGAGGCCAGTTCACTCCAAATACTATTTATTAGTTAGCTAATTGAGAAAATTAGAATAGAACACAAACAAAATAAACGGAAATTTGTGTGGGATACTGAATATACATTCATTAATAACTAAAACACTAGAGAAACTTAAGACTAGCAAAAAAAAAAGAGCTGGCTATTGCATATATTTGTTTAAAAAGAATGTAGGGCTGATACCCAGGGTTATACGACGAGGACGAGACTACCTTGACTACCCATGAGGGTCTCGCACGGTCGGGGGAAGGGATCATCGGTTATACAATACGAATCGAATGTTTTATTGGTTTCTTATACATAATTACCGGATTGTAACAAACATTGCACAATATAAGATAAACATAAACACACAAGTACATATTATCAACACTTATACAGTTATATTTATATATCTATACATGTATATCCCCGCCAAGATTAAGATAACATGGAAATATTGTAACAGTAATATACTTTTAACCCGAAGGGTTTACTGGGGTATTGAAATATGGGCATCCTTTGGTCTTCTTCCGACCGGCAGTAAAACCTTTGCTAAAGTGGGGCTTTCGGCCAGAATGCGGACGTTAAATCCGATGCCCCATGAAGAGAGAGTGTCGCGCTCTCTGCATGTTAAGGAACCCTGGGAACAACTCTGTAAGAGGTCCGTATGTAGTCTGCTGCATTAAAAAATTCCCGCCAATCATCTTTGTCGAATCCCTATTACAGTTGGGAAATAACATATTGGTTAGTATGCTATACCCAGATTACAGGACCTACCTATTGTATTTATTGTTCATTTGTTATCGTACTGAACATGCATGAAATATTTGCCACTGGAAATTGAGCAAACAACAATCAATCAATTAGATATTTGTATTTATCAGGATTCACACGAACAAGGTGATATCAACAGTTATTTATTACTCAACAAAGCATTTCTACTGTTAAATACATATCTTAAATGAGTTTAACAATAATTCTAATGATATCATTCTCAACACTAGTATACATAAATTTAAATCTAGCTTCATCAGGCATATTCATAAAAGAGGGGACTATTTCAATAATTCCAGAAAATAATTGTTTTCCAATTGTGTCTAGGTTTGTACATTTAAGTGTGCAATGAAATTTGTCTTCTACTTCTGAATGATATAAGGTACACATTAGTTCTTCTAAAGAAGTTGTGTTTTGCCAAACTTGTTAAATTTTAAGGCGACTATTACATTTTTTTTACATGTTTAACAGAAGGTAGATTTCTTATTTGTAATTGTCTTTAAATAGCCTATGTGTTCTTAGCTTATTACCGTTCACTGATTTTTTATAACAAAAGTATATTCTTTCCAATAATTCAAATATATATTACTAATTTAGATACCTTTTCGAATAAAAAGTGTTCTGATTTTCCTAAACTTGGGTAAAATTTAACTTGATATAGCAAGTAACTGTTGGATGTTCTTCGAAACCCATTGTGTAATTGCGGGTTCGAATTATATAAATCTCTGAGTCAACAATTAGATTTTATCACGTGCTACCAGATGCCATAGGTTTCTTTGATAAAAGGGTGCACACCTAGTTCAGCCAAAACTGCTAAATTGACAGCTGTTTTATTTACTCCAAATAAAGTTTTTGTGAATTTCAATTACAAAATCATGACTATAAGTCAATACCAAGACAGTAATGAGCAAATTAATACTGAAACAAAACTGAAGCTAATGTACTGTCAACGAAACAGCAACCGAACAACACAAAAAGACAGTGTAAGATCAACATGGCATCCACAAACGAATGGCAACAGTTTAACGATAATTTCCATATAAAACAAAGAAAGATGTTCCCCTGTACCATGTTTAAGCTCGAATCAAATTGAAATAAATGAAAAAAATACATACTGTATATATAGTTCCATAAAATTACAATGCACGATTTAGTTTCACCACGCCATTTTATTTGTTATAATTATATATATTTTCTAAATCTTCGCTCGGTAAAGCTTAATCATTGTAAGGCCTTGAAATTGTAACTTCTATTAGAACGATTTGAAATATTTCATTTGGAATAAATATTTTAATGCACCCGTAAGTCTTTATAGTATCTAACATGTAACACATAATGTGGTTTCAGGGGCAGATAAAGCAGGATGTCAAATTGTTCTAACGAGTTTCCCACCACTGGAGTTTTATACGATGGTGAGTAACTATTTTTACGTGTTAATATTATCCTTATTATTTACGAACAATTCAGCTAACCGTGTGAAATCTGGTTCGGACTTAAACAAAATTGTTCTAGGCTTTACTACAAAGTGGGTTTCATCAATTGGATTGGAAAATTCCAATATGTAACAATCAATTTAATAAAAAAAAATGGCATATTCACCACATTTCCGTTTTTTTAATTACGTTTAACAAATTAATTTCAAAGATTTTACAAATAATCCATTCATGGTGTCCAGTTCCTTGTAATACTATAATGTCCAGTTCCTTGTAATACAGTAATGTCCAGTTCCCAGTAATACTGTAATGTCCAGTTCCTTGTAATACAGTAATGTCCAGTTCCTTGTAATACAGAAATGTCCAGTTCCTTGTAATACAGTAATGTCTAGTTCCTTGTAATAGTAATGTCCAGTTCCTTGTAATACAGTAATGTCCAGTTCCTTGTAATACAGTAATGTCCTACAGTAATGTCCAGACTATTTTCCAAATGGTACATGACGGAAATTTCCTTGGAAGAAGTTACAAAGGGTGTATATGCACCTAGCTTGAAGTATGTTTTGAACGGTACGTTTCACTGGACTTAATCCGAAACAGGCGATTTATAAGAAAGGATTGAAATGAAAACACTAGGCAATGTAGGCCTGACTGTAAATCATAGATTGGATATAATTATTACTGGAAATGCTACAATTGAAAGCAATAATACTCATGTAGTTCACATGACAATACTCAATTTCTAATTAAGTTTTCATCCATCAAGCATATTTTACGTAAAACATTTTGCATGTTTGGAACAATAAAATGAATTCATAATTTCACTCTTGTTTTTGTCTCGCCTGCGAAGAAAGTCGCGGAAAGCAAGACATAGGGATTGCTTTTCCGGCGACGGCTGCGGTGACGGCGTCAACAATTGTTAAGTTTTCTGCTTAAGTTAGTTTGATAGGAACTACTTGTGATAGATCATTGCTATTTTGTATGAAGATGCATTACTATCAATACATATCAGTTTGACGACAATTTTGAGACCCTGCCACCTAGGCTATGGTCCATTGACTTTGAATTAAATAGCAATTTTAAATGTTAAGTTTTCTGCTTAAGTTAGATTGATAGGAACTACTTGTGATAGATCAATGATATTTTGTATGGAGTTGCATTACTCTCAGTACATATCAGTTTGACGACAATTTTGAGGCCCTGCCTCCTAGGCCATGGTGCAGTGAATTAATTAGCCATTTTCAATGTTGAGTTTTCGGCTTAAGTTAGTTTGATAGGAACTACTTGTGATAGATCAATGATATTTTGTATGAAATGCATTACTATCAGTACATATCAGTTTGACGATTATTTTGAGGCCCTGTCCCCTAGGCCATGGTCCAGTGACTTTGAATTAATTATCAATTTTAAATGTTAAGTTTTCTGATTATGTTAAATTGATAGGAACTACTGGTGATGGATTATTGATATTTTGTGTGAAGTTGCATTGCTTTCAGTACATATCAGTTTGACGACTATTTCGAGGCCCTGTTCCCTAGGTCATGGTCCAGTTACTTTCAATCAATTAACAATTTTCAATGTTAAGTTTTCTGATTAAGTTAGTTTGATAGGAACAACTTACAATAGACAATATTTCTATAAAGTTACATTGCTGTCTGTACATCTCAGTTTGTCAACCATTTCGTGGCCCTTCCCACTAGTTGGTCCAGCGACTTTGAATTAATTAGCAATGTTGCTGTCCATCAGATAGTCTTTTTCTGAATTTTATGCCGACAGGCGAGACATACCTTTGTGTCAACAGTTTATTTGTACACATGTTTCATTGCCTTTCGTGTATATCGTTTGTTTATCTTCTTCTGAATTTCGATTTTTTATTTCTCTTTTAGTATAAACAGTTTCTTTATCGTACAAGTATGCTGAAGTAATATGAATGATGCATGGAAGGAAACATTAAAATTATGAATATATATATATGAATGCGAGGCCATGACAACGCCACAAAAGTGGGCATGGTATCCGCTAAACACAGTGTAATTTGGTTTAAAGTATTTACAAAAAGAAGATTAAGAAAGGCTTTAGTAGATACAGCCATGTCCCAATTATGGAACACTATGCAACAAAATAACTCACAAGAGTTTTGTAAGTTAACAATAACAATGATCTCCACACTGTTTAATACATATTGTTATAATTATATTACAGAGCTAAGTGTTGGGGCATTGGTACCTGGACTGATTGGATGCGCCCTTGCTTTTGTTGTTATTGGTATATATATAGAAGAGATATGGTTTATTTTACATCACTACCCACACAAAACACAGAGAACAAAATTTATTTGTTTACTTGGACTTTATCCAGTAAGTTGTCATATTCTTCTGTAGTCCATGTTAGTAATATCAATAAAAAAAATCCTAAAGGCATTTAGAGATCACCAACAACAGACGTGTCTATGCTATACGCCAAACTCTTAATACCTAGAGTTAAAGGTGCTGCGATAAAAATAAACAGCCCAAGTGTATTTATTGTTTTTGATATATTCATACATACATATACAGTCAAGTTTTTTAATACGTGAGAATGAAAGTTTTACTTTTGGAGAATATTAACGTTTTTACGAACATACAGTAATAATAAGAATGTGACATGATTTAGATATGTATAAGTCATTAAATGACAGTATAGACACCCATTAAAATGGAAACCACTCAAGCTTGCTGAATTTTAACATGGTTTCTTCCAGAATAAGTATTTCGGCGATGTTCGTAACAAATAGTGTTCATCAAAACTTGAAAGTTTGAAAGAATTTTGTTCCACAGAAAGTTGAAATATATTTGTCTTATTATATCTCAATTTAGTGGGGTGAATTTCATGTGAAAGTATTTCACGTGAGATTTGCGTCCGAAAAAAAGAAACCATGTATAGACATAGACATAGACATAGGCATATTTAATTATTTCCAATCATGGTGCCCTAAATAGAGCAGTACAATCATACATAACTAAATAAACAGATTCATAAATAAACTAGAAAAGTGATTTTTATAATTGAATATTTAACAGAATGGAGCAGAAAAAAAACCCAACATAACTAACTACAATTACAGTACAATATAATTGTCTAGTTTCTGGGCATCTCTACCTGTGGAAGGGGAGAATTCTACTCCAAAGTAGCCTTAAGTTCTAATTTAAAAAAAAAAAATTAAAATAGTTATGCACATTAATTTGTTGTCAAATAAAGTTTGCAACATACAACTTTAATTTCAAAATTATATTTTTATCTTCATTACTGAATTACCAAATTAATGTATGATCAGAGGACAAATGAGAACATTTTTTACAATTTTTGCTGAAAAAATTTAAATAATCATTTCTCATATTATGGAGACAAGGACACTCAAATAAGAAGTGAACCTCATCTTCTACTTTACTATAACATAGATCACATATTCCATCTTGATATGTATAACGAGCTAAGACGTTTATTTATTGTTAGATTTCCTATTCGATAGCGAAGAATATATTTTCATTTACAAGTCGATAGCTACGGATCGAGTCTGGCCATTTTAAAAATTTATGTGATTTAGAAAATGAATTAAAATACATGCTCTTGTTAGAGTTACCCTTTACATAATATAATTTATATTATTATTCTCTTGTTCGAGTATCCTTTACATAGTATGATTTATATTATTCTCTTGTTCGGGTTACCCTTTACATGGTATGATTTACATTATTCTCTTGTTCGAGTATCCTTTACATGGTAGGATTTACATTATTCTCTTGTTCGAGTATCCTTAACATGGTAGGATTTACATTATTCTCTTGTTCCAGTACCCTTTACATGGTATGATTTACATTATTCTCTTGTTCGAGTACCCTTTACATGGTAGGATTTACATTATTCTCTTGTTCGGGTTTCCCTTTACATGGTATGATTTACATTATTCTCTTGTTCGGGTACCCTTTACATATTATGATTTACATTATTCTCTTGTTCGAATATCCTTTACATGGTATGATTTACATTATTCTCTTGTTCGAGTACCCTTAACATGGTATGATTTACATTATTCTCTTGTTCGAGTACCCTTTACATGGTATGATTTACATTATTCTCTTGTTCGAGTACCCTTTACATGGTAGGATTTACATTATTCTCTTGTTCGAGTACCCTTTACATGGTATGATTTACATTATTCTCTTGTTCGGGTTACCCTTTACATGGTATGATTTACATTATTCTCTTGTTCGAATATCCTTTACATGGTATGATTTACATTATTCTCTTGTTCGAGTACCCTTTACATGGTATGATTTACATTATTCTCTTGTTCGAGTATCCTTTACATAGTATGATTTACATTATTCTCTTGTTCGAGTACCCTTTACATGGTATGATTTACATTATTCTCTTGTTCGAGTACCCTTTACATGGTATGATTTACATTATTCTCTTGTTCGGGTTACCCTTTACATGGTATGATTTACATTATTCTCTTGTTCGAATATCCTTTACATGGTATGATTTACATTATTCTCTTGTTCGAGTACCCTTTACATGGTATGATTTACATTATTCTCTTGTTCGAGTATCCTTTACATAGTATGATTTACATTATTCTCTTGTTCGGGTTACCCTTTACATGGTATGATTTACATTATTCTCTTGTTCGAGTATCATTTACATGGTAGGATTTACATTATTCTCTTGTTCGAGTACCCTTTACATGGTAGGATTTACATTATTCTCTTGTTCGAGTACCCTTTACATGGTAGGATTTACATTATTCTCTTGTTCGGGTTTCCCTTTAAATGGTATGATTTACATTATTCTCTTGTTCGGGTACCCTTTACATGGTATGATTTACATTATTCTCTTGTTCGAGTATCCTTTACATGGTAGGATTTACATTATTCTCTTGTTCGAGTACCCTTTACATGGTATGATTTACATTATTCTTTTGTTCGAGTATCCTTTACATAGTATGATTTACATTATACTCTTGTTCGGGTTACCCTTTACATGGTATGATTTACATTATTCTCTTGTTCGAGTATCCTTTACATGGTAGGATTTACATTATTCTCTTGTTCGAGTATCCTTTACATGGTAGGATTTACATTATTCTCTTGTTCGAGTACCCTTTACATGGTAGGATTTACATTATTCTCTTGTTCGGGTTTCCCTTTAAATGGTATGATTTACATTATTCTCTTGTTCGGGTACCCTTTACATGGTATGATTTACATTATTCTCTTGTTCGAGTATCCTTTACATGGTAGGATTTACATTATTTTCTTGTTCGAGTACCCTTTACATGGTATGATTTACATTATTCTCTTGTTCGGGTTACCCTTTACATGGTATGATTTACATTATTCTCTTGTTCGGGTTTCCCTTTACATGGTATGATTTACATTATTCTCTTGTTCGGGTTTTCCTTTACATGGTATGATTTACATTATTCTCTTGTTCGGGTTACCCTTTACATGGTATGATTTACATTATTCTCTTGTTCGGGTTTTCCTTTACATGGTATGATTTACATTATTCTCTTGTTCGAGTATCCTTTACATGGTAGGATTTATATTATTCTCTTGTTCGAGTACCCTTTACATGGTACGATTTACATTATTCTCTTGTTCGGGTTTCCCTTTACATGGTATGATTTACATTATTCTCTTGTTCGAGTACCCTTTACATGGTACGATTTACATTATTCTCATGTTCGGGTTTCCCTTTACATGGTATGATTTACATTATTCTCTTGTTCGGGATTTCCTTTACATGGTATGATTTACATTATTCTTTTGTTCGAGTATCCTTTACATGGTAGGATTTACATTATTCTCTTGTTCGAGTATCCTTTACATGGTAGGATTTACATTATTCTCTTGTTCGAGTATCCTTTACATGGTAGGATTTACATTATTCTCTTGTTCGAGTATCCTTTACATGGTAGGATTTACATTATTCTCTTGTTCGGGTTTCCCTTTACATGGTATGATTTACATTATTCTCTTGTTCGGGTACCCTTTACATGGTATGATTTACATTATTCTCTTGTTCGGGTTACCCTTTACATGGTATGATTTACATTATTCTCTTGTTCGGGTTTTCCTTTACATGGTATGATTTACATTATTCTCTTGTTTGAGTACCCTTTACATGGTATGATTTACATTATTCTCTTGTTCGAATATCCTTTACATAGTATGATTTACATTATTCTTTTGTTCGGGTTACCCTTTACATGGTATGATTTACATTATTCTCTTGTTCGGGTACCCTTTACATGGTATGATTTACATTATTCTCTTGTTCGGGTTACCCTTTACATGGTATGATTTACATTATTCTCTTGTTCGAGTATCCTTTACATGGTATGATTTACATTATTCTCTTGTTCGGGTACCCTTTACATGGTATGATTTACATTATTCTCTTGTTCGGGTTTCCCTTTACATGGTATGATTTACATTATTCTCTTGTTCGGGTACCCTTTACATATTATGATTTACATTATTCTCTTGTTCGGGTTACCCTTTACATGATATGATTTACATTATTCTCTTGTTCGAGTATCCTTTACATGGTATGATTTACATTATTCTCTTGTTCGGGTTTTCCTCTACATAGTATGATTTACATTATTCTCTTGTTCGGGTTACCCTTTACATGGTATGATTTACATTATTCTCTTGTTCGAATATCCTTTACATGGTATGATTTACATTATTCTCTTGTTCGAGTAACCTTTTCATGGTATGAATTACATTATTCTCTTGTTCGAGTATCCTTTACATAGTATGATATACATTATTCTCTTGTTCGAGTACCCTTTACATGGTAGGATTTACATTATTCTCTTGTTCGAGTACCCTTTACATGGTATGATTTACATTATTCTCTTGTTCGAGTATCCTTTACATAGTATGATTTACATTATTCTCTTGTTCGAGTACCCTTTACATGGTATGATTTACATTATTCTCTTGTTCGAGTACCCTTTACATGGTATGATTTACATTATTCTCTTGTTCGAGTATCCTTTACATAGTATGATTTACATTATTCTCTTGTTCGAGTACCCTTTACATGGTATGATTTACATTATTCTCTTGTTCGAGTACCCTTTACATGGTATGATTTACATTATTCTCTTGTTCGGGTTTCCCTTTACATGGTATGATTTACATTATTCTCTTGTTCGGGTTACCCTTTACATGGTATGATTTACATTATTCTCTTGTTCGAATATCCTTTACATGGTATGATTTACATTATTCTCTTGTTCGAGTACCCTTTACATGGTATGATTTACATTATTCTCTTGTTCGAGTATCCTTTACATAGTATGATTTACATTATTCTCTTGTTCGAGTACCCTTTACATGGTATGATTTACATTATTCTCTTGTTCGTGTACCCTTTACATGGTATGATTTACATTATTCTCTTGTTCGGGTTACCCTTTACATGGTATTATTTACATTATTCTCTTGTTCGGGTTACCCTTTACATGGTATGATTTACATTATTCTCTTGTTCGAGTATCCTTTACATGGTATAATTTACATTATTCTCTTGTTCGAGTACCCTTTACATGGTATGATTTACATTATTCTCTTGTTCGAGTACCCTTTACATGGTATGATTTACATTATTCTCTTGTTCGAGTTACCCTTTACATGGTATGATTTACATTATTCTCTTGTTCGGGTTACCCTTTACATGGTATGATTTACATTATTCTCTTGTTCGAGTTACCCTTTACATGGTATGATTTACATTATTCTCTTGTTCGAGTTACCCTTTACATGGTAGGATTTACATTATTCTCTTGTTCGGGTTACCCTTTACATGGTATGATTTACATTATTCTCTTGTTCTGGTTTTCCTTTACATGGTATGATTTACATTATTCTCTTGTTCGAGTACCCTTTACATGGTATGATTTACATTATTCTCTTGTTCGGGTTTTCCTTTACATGGTATGATTTACATTATTCTCTTGTTCGAGTACCCTTTACATGGTATGATTTACATTATTCTCTTGTTCGAGTATCCTTTACATAGTATGATTTACATTATTCTCTTGTTCGGGTTACCCTTTACATGGTATGATTTACATTATTCTCTTGTTCGGGTTTCCCTTTACATGGTATGATTTACATTATTCTCTTGTTCGGGTTACCCTTTACATGGTATGATTTACATTATTCTCTTGTTCGAATATCCTTTACATGGTATGATTTACATTATTCTCTTGTTCGAGTACCCTTTACATGGTATGATTTACATTATTCTCTTGTTCGAGTATCCTTTACATAGTATGATTTACATTATTCTCTTGTTCGAGTACCATTTACATGGTATGCTTTACATTATTCTCTTGTTCGTGTACCCTTTACATGGTATGATTTACATTATTCTCTTGTTCGGATTACCCTTTACATGGTATGATTTACATTATTCTCTTGTTCGGGTTACCCTTTACATGGTATGATTTACATTATTCTCTTGTTCGAGTATCCTTTACATGGTATAATTTACATTATTCTCTTGTTCGAGTACCCTTTAAATGGTATGATTTACATTATTCTCTTGTTCGAGTACCCTTTACATGGTATAATTTACATTATTCTCTTGTTCGAGTTACCCTTTACATGGTATGATTTACATTATTCTCTTGTTCGGGTTACCCTTTACATGGTATGATTTACATTATTCTCTTGTTCGAGTTACCCTTTACATGGTATGATTTACATTATTCTCTTGTTCGAGTTACCCTTTACATGGTATGATTTACATTATTCTCTTGTTCGGGTTTTCCTTTACATGGTATGATTTACATTATTCTCTTGTTCGAGTACCCTTTACATGGTATGATTTACATTATTCTCTTGTTCGGGTTTTCCTTTACATGGTATGATTTACATTATTCTCTTGTTCGAGTACCCTTTACATGGTATGATTTACATTATTCTCTTGTTCGAGTATCCTTTACATAGTATGATTTACATTATTCTCTTGTTCTGGTTACCCTTTACATGGTATGATTTACATTATTCTCTTGTTCGGGTACCCTTTACATGGTATGATTTACATTATTCTCTTGTTCGGGTTTCCCTTTACATGGTATGATTTACATTATTCTCTTGTTCGGGTACCCTTTACATGGTATGATTTACATTATTCTCTTGTTCGGGTTACCCTTTACATGGTATGATTTACATTATTCTCTTGTTCGAATATCCTTTACATGGTATGATTTACATTATTCTCATGTTCGAGTACCCTTTACATGGTATGATTTACATTATTCTCTTGTTCGGGTTACCCTTTACATGATATGATTTACATTATTCTCTTGTTCGGGTTTTCCTTTACATGGTATGATTTACATTATTCTCTTGTTCGAGTACCCTTTACATGGTATGATTTACATTATTCGCTTGTTAGGGTTACCCTTTACATGGTATGATTTACATTATTCTCTTGTTCGGGTTTCCCTTTACATGGTATGATTTACATTATTCTCTTGTTCGAGTATCCTTTACATAGTATGATTTACATTATTCTCTTGTTCGAGTACCATTTACATGGTATGCTTTACATTATTCTCTTGTTCGTGTACCCTTTACATGGTATGATTTACATTATTCTCTTGTTCGGATTACCCTTTACATGGTATGATTTACATTATTCTCTTGTTCGGGTTACCCTTTACATGGTATGATTTACATTATTCTCTTGTTCGAGTATCCTTTACATGGTATAATTTACATTATTCTCTTGTTCGAGTACCCTTTAAATGGTATGATTTACATTATTCTCTTGTTCGAGTACCCTTTACATGGTATAATTTACATTATTCTCTTGTTCGAGTTACCCTTTACATGGTATGATTTACATTATTCTCTTGTTCGGGTTACCCTTTACATGGTATGATTTACATTATTCTCTTGTTCGAGTTACCCTTTACATGGTATGATTTACATTATTCTCTTGTTCGAGTTACCCTTTACATGGTATGATTTACATTATTCTCTTGTTCGGGTTTTCCTTTACATGGTATGATTTACATTATTCTCTTGTTCGAGTACCCTTTACATGGTATGATTTACATTATTCTCTTGTTCGGGTTTTCCTTTACATGGTATGATTTACATTATTCTCTTGTTCGAGTACCCTTTACATGGTATGATTTACATTATTCTCTTGTTCGAGTATCCTTTACATAGTATGATTTACATTATTCTCTTGTTCTGGTTACCCTTTACATGGTATGATTTACATTATTCTCTTGTTCGAGTACCCTTTACATGGTATGATTTACATTATTCTCTTGTTCGAGTATCCTTTACATAGTATGATTTACATTATTCTCTTGTTCTGGTTACCCTTTACATGGTATGATTTACATTATTCTCTTGTTCGGGTACCCTTTACATGGTATGATTTACATTATTCTCTTGTTCGGGTTTCCCTTTACATGGTATGATTTACATTATTCTCTTGTTCGGGTACCCTTTACATGGTATGATTTACATTATTCTCTTGTTCGGGTTACCCTTTACATGGTATGATTTACATTATTCTCTTGTTCGAATATCCTTTACATGGTATGATTTACATTATTCTCTTGTTCGAGTACCCTTTACATGGTATGATTTACATTATTCTCTTGTTCGGGTTACCCTTTACATGATATGATTTACATTATTCTCTTGTTCGGGTTTTCCTTTACATGGTATGATTTACATTATTCTCTTGTTCGAGTACCCTTTACATGGTATGATTTACATTATTCGCTTGTTAGGGTTACCCTTTACATGGTATGATTTACATTATTCTCTTGTTCGGGTTTCCCTTTACATGGTATGATTTACATTATTCTCTTGTTCGGGTTTCCCTTTACATGGTATGATTTACATTATTCTCTTGTTCGAGTACCCTTTACATGGTATGATTTACATTATTCTCTTGTTCGAGTACCCTTTACATGGTATGATTTACATTATTCTCTTGTTCGGGTTACCCTTTACATGGTATGATTTACATTATTCTCTTGTTCGAGTATTCTTTACATGGTATGATTTACATTATTCTCTTGTTCGAGTACCCTTTACATGGTATGATTTACATTATTCTCTTGTTCGAGTACCCTTTACATGGTATGATTTACATTATTCTCTTGTTCGGGTTACCCTTTACATGGTATGATTTACATTATTCTCTTGTTCGAGTATTCTTTACATGGTATGATTTACATTATTCTCTTGTTCGAGTACCCTTTACATGGTATGATTTACATTATTCTCTTGTTCGAGTATCCTTTACATGGTAGGATTTACATTATTCTCTTGTTCGAGTACCCTTTACATGGTATGATTTATATTTAGGTAGTATGTATTACCTCATCATTTGCTGTTTTAATACCAAGGGCGACATTTCTTTGCGAACTTGTGGCGGCCACGTAAGTATAAACCTATTACTGAATGACTCAACTTATGTATGTTTCTATTTTACATAAAAATAAAGGAACTAATTGTGCATCACTTTTTTTAAATTAAAATTTGTTATAATATTTGTATTCGTGTGCAGCAGAGATTATCCTAGCGTGAGGCGTTACAAACATTCCTTCGTTGAACATTCATACTGCATCCTCAGAATATTAGGTGTAAAAATTAGAATACGGTTTATTTAGTCATTGTCAAGATAAAAAAAAAAAATAATTATTAAAAAAGTTAGTACATGTTTTCTGAAACGATCCCAACACGACACAACCGTGAATGAGCCAGTGTTTCGGCGTGGTTTATTATCAACACTTAAATAACTTCGCAAACAATAAATGTTGTATAACTTCCCGGAAAAACCAAGTTGAAACTCCCTTCAAGTCAATTTTAGAGAGATTTCGCAGTCATTAATGGTAATATATTAAAAAATCCTTATGTATTAATGAATCTGTGGCTTTCTAGTCCGTAAACAATTTTTAGATGCATACATACAATATAAAAATAATATTGGATTCAGATATGCAGTTTTCACTTCGATCTAAATGAGCGAAAGATTAGGTATGTAACACTATAACAGTTCACGATAGAGCGTTTCGCCGATAAAAAGCACAAACTCATATCCATATGTTAAAAATATTAAAATACCAAAATTATTTAGCAATTCGAAATTCCTAATTGTTTCTAAGGTAACTGGTTATACTACATTGTAGATATTTGTCGTTTTGCATTCTATTGTTTGTCAACATGATGGTTTCCTACTTTGGAGGTACAAAAAACCTTCTACATGTGATGACGGACGAAAAGATGCCATTTGGAGTACCACCTTGCTGTTGTTTGGTTTGTTTCAACAAGTTACCTTTTAACAGGTTTGTTTAATTTTCTACCTAAACAGGAATTTGTTACAAATTGACTGATAGTAAATTGCTCAACATTTAATGATAGAAAAAGTTGAACAGTAAAGTCAAATGAATGGCGGCAATCGGAGAGATAAGCGGATTAGATTAACACGGAGAGATAAGCGGATTAGATTAACACGGAGAGATAAGCGGATTAGATTAACACGGAGAGATAAGCGGATTAGTTTAACACGGAGAGATAAGCGGATTAGATTAACACGGAGAGATAAGCGGATTAGATTAACACTGAGAGATAAGCGGATTAGATTAACACGGAGAGATAAGCGGATTAGATTAACACGGAGAGATAAGCGGATTAGATTAACACGGAGAGATAAGCGGATTAGATTAACACGGAGGGATAAGCGGATTAGATTAACACTTCTTCTAGTAATAAAACGACAATACCTGTGTATGGTGATAATATATATTAGTTATAAAAAGGTGTTGACTTACAATTTCAGTTATATTGAATAATGTGTAGATCTTTTCTAGCTGATCATTTTTGGTCGTATAGGGGTTTCTCTACCTATTGTAATTTCTAACATTATAGCAAAAAAAAAATCTGCAAAGAGTGCAATAACTCACATTAAGAGTCGATTGACGATGTCGGCCATTTTCATTTATTTGTAGAAATTGTCTTGCTGGTCAATTTTGCTGTTTAAAGTTTTTCTTTTCCTTTTTTTTTAATTGCGAAATGAGAATACAAAGGGTATATTTTAATAAAGTAATAGTCACATGAGTAAAACATGGATACCATTTCATTCAATAGGTAACTCGTCCAACGATTTAACATAAAGTTATGGTTCATAAGTTGTGATTAAATTTCTTTAAGTTTTTAAGTTTTTAGTTTTCATTATATATAAATTATATATATTACTAAAAAAAATCAGTTTATCAAAAACAATGGCAAGGATACATTTTTGTTTCAATTTTCTCAATAAAAGTCAAACTTGATATACGTCCTCTTTGTAAGCCATGGCAAACATGGTTTCAGTGGTATAATGATGTTTTGTTAAGCCTTAATTCATTTATTTCAAATTAATTCTACACATTAAATGGATTTTTGGTGAAAATAATAATGATCGAAGAATTAAAAAAAAAATTCAGAACATCAAAGAAAAAAAAAAGAGACAAATATTTGTCGGACTGTGACTAATACAATTCATTAAAAATTAAACACTATTAAAAGATATTTTAAATTGCAAGGATAGAGTTAAAGTTTTAAAATAAACATCATAAAACTATTTGACATTAGGAAAGAATCTCTGATCTGTATTATTGTTTATCGGAAGTTTTGTCTACACAGGAAACACCTGCGGATAGCGACCATCATGGTACTACAGATTACAATCATCAAACCATTGTCCCTGTTTATAGCAGCTGTCTTGTGGACCGATAATCAGTATTCACCAGGCGACGAGGTATCTTGTTCTTATGGTGTGAACCAAGGTTGGGGGGAGGGTTTCGGTCAAACCATTGTCCCTGTTTATAGCAGCAGTCTTGTGGACCGATAATCAGTATACACCAGGCGACGAGATATCTTGTTCTTATGGTGTGAACCAAGGTTAGGGGAGGGTTTACCGCTTTCATACATTTTTAATCCCCTCAACTTCTATATTTCCATTTCCGAAGTCAGAAGTTTGTAAACCAGTGGTTGTCGTTGGTTGCTAACTACTATAATTGTTTTTCGTTTACTGTAGTAAGCATAAATCAAGCCGTTATTTTTCTCTTTCGGATTATGTAAAATTTTGTCGTCCCTGGGCCTTTTATAGCTTACTAGCTTACCACAGAGTATGTGTTTTGCTCATTGTTGAAGGCCTTACGGTGACCTGTAGTAGTTAACATCCTCGTCCTTTGATCTCCGGTGAATAGTTGTATCATTGGCAATTATGCCACATCTTATTTTTTTATATTAATCAACACGAGTTGTGCCTTCTATTAAACAGTGTGTCATTTGTCCATTTATATATAACACGATATTTTGGAAATCTTTTACAAACAAACTTATATTTCATAGCTTCAGCTCCAAAAATGTGTTATGGGCTTTGCTCATTGTTGAAGGCCGTACGGTGACCTATAGTTGTTAATTTCTGTGTCATTTGGTCTCTTGTGGAGAGTTGTCTCATTGGCAATCATTCCACATCTTCTTTTTTATATATGTTCGTCTAAACGAGGAAAACTTCGTTCTATGAATGACACAATTACATAGATTTATTTGTAATTTAAGTGATCTTAAAAGGTCTGTATATTTAAGGCATTGGATACAAGGATCATTTTTAATAAAAAAAAATGCATATTTTTTGTTTCCAAACTCAAGTAAAGTTTATGTTATTTCAGAGCGCTCCAAAGAATGGTGTGTTTTACACAAACTTGACTAGTATAATATCTACAGTGTCTGGAATCTGGGGAATCGCTATTATATATCGATCAACCAGGTCGAAACTTCCAGCCTATAGGATTGGTATAAAGTTTATAAGTCTTCAGCTTGTTCTGATATTTCTTAATCTGCAGTTTAGTATAATTAGCCTCCTAGCAAGGAATGATATACCAGGATGTGCAGGTACCAGGGACTCTCTTGTCAGAGGATACCGTAAGACACTTTGTTTATGCATGCATTATATTTTCTACGGTTTTTATTTTTTAGCTCATCTGGCTCGAAGGGCCAAGTGAGCTTTTCTCATCACTTGGCGTCCGTCGTCGTTAACTTTTACAAAAAACTTCTCCTCTGAAACTACTGAGACAAATTTTACCAAACTTGGCCACAATCATCATTCGGGTATCTAGTTTAAAAAATGCGTCTGATGACCCCGCCTTCTAACCAACATGACCTACATGGCTAAAAACAGAACATAGGGGTAAAATACAGTTTTTGGCTTGTATCTCTGAAACTAAAGCATTAAGAGCAAAAAAATGTTCATCAGGTTTAGATCTATCTGCCCATTAAATGTTCAGACAAATCAGACAACTCGTTGTTGGGTTGCTGCCCTGAATTGGTAATTTTAAGGAAACTTTGCAATTTTCATGGTTTTTGGTTATTTTGAATATTATTTTAGATAGAGATAAACTGAAAACAGCAATAATGTTCAGCAAAGTAAGATCTACAAATAAGTCAACATGACCAAAATCGTCAATTAACATCTTATTGGAGTTATTGTCCTTTAAAGTCATTTTCTGCAATTTTTTGGTAATTTTCGTAAACTTTTTTCAAAAATCTTCTGCATTTAATTTAACTACTGGGCCAAATTAAACCAAACTTGGCCTCAATCATTATTAGGGTATCTAATACTATTTATTATGATTTTAACCTTATTAAACATGATTTCCAAAATCACAGTAGATACAGGTGCGCGACACAGGCTCTTGAGAGCCTCTAGTTTTGAAATAGTTTTATTTTTTTTGGGAAATATTTAAAAAAAATAACGTTTTGAGGTTTATCTAAATGGAAAGCTATTACCGCCAAAATGTGTTGCTCGCTTTTCTTAAATCGGTTTATCAATTGTAAATTATTTCATCTACTAATAACTCGCATGTTTTTCGTCTATATGACATTTATACCTCTATCTCTACGATTGTTGTGTGTGTGTGTATTCTAAGCTCCCTTTTCTTCCACATTTACGAATTCGCTTAAGATTTACGATGTCTCCTTGACTTCGTATAAAAAATCATAACTACGAATGTCAAACGTAAAGTACACAATGACGAACGGAATATTCAATGTTTAAATGTCTCTTTTGAAGAAAGACGATGGCTTTAGCTAAAATTACTCCTACCAAAGCTGAATTTAGTATTTTCAATTAATCTAAAAATAAGAAGATGTGGTATGATTGCCAATGAGACAACTATCCACCAGATGTCAAATGAAGTAAATGTATGCAATTATAGTCATCCGTACGGCCTTCAACAATGAGAAAAATCCATATCTTATAGTCGGCTATAAAAGTCCCGACATGAAAAATGTGAAACAATTCAAACTAGAAAACTAACGGCCTAATTTATAACAAAACAATTTACGAAAAACACATATGACAGACAAAAACAAACGACAACCACTGAAATACAGGTTCCTGACTTTGGACAGGCTGATAAACATGTCTGTGAGCTCTGAAGTCTTCCCTTAACCTGGGTCATGGTTTAACAGCACACCATAAGGACAAACAGGACAAATTCAATTGCAATTGGCTTAACTCAAAAGATCGGAACGAGAAATAAAGTATAACAAAAATACCGAATTCCAAGGTAAATTAAAAAAAGGGGAGGGGAGTCTATAAAAACTGACAAAACAAAACAAACGGAACGAGTGAAACCTAACTGTCATATTCCTGACTTGGTACATGCTTTTTCCGAAGAAAATAGTGGACTAAACCAGGTTTTATAGCCAGATAAACCGTGTATGACACTTGTTTATAGTTTCGTTATATTGACAAAATTGGGTGAGCAACCAAAACTCACATAATAGGTCAATGTGACAATAACCATTTATTTCGCATTTGTTTTAATGAGAAATTTTGAAACATGGAAGAAAACCAATCTCAGTTTGAACGTTATTAGATTTGAACATCGGTAAAATACTGTTGCCATAATTAATCAATACCTGTAAACAATATATTCTCTGAGAACAATCCAGATTTTTCAAATATAATTATGAAAGAGGTAGGGCCAATTTCCCCTGAATTTTTTTCACAGAAGGGCCAATTTCAAAAAGTGCTGAAAGAATAAAATTTACGATAAAAACATGAAATAAAAATGTTTTTTGGTCAATATCTCGATTTTTATGTATTATGTTATGTCTGGAAAATAGTTAATTTAACCTCCAAAAAAGGATGAAAGTCAAATATGCGGAATTTACCGTGTTTTTAGGTTGGAAAAACAGGGAATCCCCCTAGAAGAACACTTCAAACCAAAACAAAGTTATGTACAACTTTTCCCCTCAAAAATGAAATTGGTTTAGTGTGTCCTTAATAACTAAAAAAACAACTTTTTTAATAAAAAGTGGAACATCACTAAATTTTACCTATATAGATGCTAAATATCGACTTTGTTATCAAGAGTCGCCGTGGCTCCATCTGTAGCGCTTAAAACTGTAAAGATAAAAAAAAAGCGCTTAAAACTGTAAATAATGGATTGTTTTTAAGATGGGGTTCAAATCTCACGCTAATTTTTTTCATTTTTTTATGTTGAAATATTAAAATGTTATGTTTCTATCACATTTTTTCGGATGTTTGTTTAATTCAACCAATAACAAGAGAATTGATTATATAGCAATGAAGCCCAAATGTTGTGTATGTTATACACATAACGAAAAAAGGCCATAGCAGTAAAATTCAAAACAACAAAAATATTTTTTCTAAATCTTAAACAAGAACGTTTTAGAAAATGGTATGATATGTAACAAATGCAGACAGTAATTTTATCGCCAATCCACCAACTGTGTGATACTAGTACTGGCATTGTTACATTGTACCACAGTCCCTACACCGGAACCTAAGTCATGTGACTTACCGAATTAAACTATTTACCGGATTTGTAACAACATAAGCAACACGGCGGGATCTGCTTACCCTTCCGGAGCACCTAAGGTCACCCCCAGTTTTTGGTGGGGTTCGTGTTGCTTAGTTTTTTGTTTTCTATGTTGTGTCATCTGTCTGTTGTTTGTCTGTTTGTCTTTTTATTTTTGGCCATGGCGTTGTCGGTTTGTTTTCGATCTGTGAGTTTGACTGTCCCTCTGGTATCTTTCGTCCCTCTTTTAACCACTTTGTCGATGTCTCTGCTGGTGGACATTTTGTCCCCGAGGACATCATTCGCTCAGTAGCAAAATTGCATGAATTTACGAAGATCTAACAGGATACTGGCTCGGACGTCGCCCAGTATAAAAAGGTCCGAAACAGACGTCACCATGGACACGGTGTCGTCTGATAAGGCAGGTGTCCCCTCATCACCAGACATGACAAATATCACAAACATGACTCATTCAGATCATCATACTAGTGACAATAGCAATAAGACATTTTGGATTTTGATGACTCTGAACAACACTGTCTCATTTCGAAATGTGGAACTAATGGCTGCAAAACTTGTGAAATTTTAATAACATACGCTCAATTCACTAGCAATTTAACTAAAAAGTCTTACTTTACTAGAAGTTACGATGATCTGAATTGTAAATCTATAAATGTCGTCTACGGATTAGAGTGTAACCTTTGTGGATTGGTATACGTCGGTGAAACGAAAGGAAGGCTAAACAAACGTATGTGCGGCCATAGATCAGATATCAACCTCAATGCAAACGACATTCTGTACTAGCATTTTAATCAGCCTGATCATTCCATCGTTTCTATGACAGTTCGTATAATCGAAAAAATATACCACAAGACAAACAATCCTCAACTTGCAACGCCTCTCCGTAGACAAAAAGAGGACTACTGGATTCGACAATTGGGAACTGCGACACCATATGGTTGCAATGACAAAATTGATGGTATAGGTATTCTATCTAGTCCTTCCTGTAGCTCGGTGAATGTAATGAATATTTTCAACTCTACTCCTCGACGTAGACGCAGTCATGGTCATCGTCAATATACATCACCTACTTTGCATGATGTCTCTATTAATGACTTGCTGCCATTTATACAAAAGCCATTAGGCATTCATCACATTCACACGAAACTGTATTCATTACCCCTTTCAAAACTTAATTCTGTTTAAATTATGTTTGGAAACCACTGTTACAAACCCTCATTCAAACCAATACAAACTTACAGCTATCATTTCGGATATTGCAAGTCACAGACTTTTCAAACCAGTTCGCATTGGAAAAGATGAAAAAGAGAAAAGATCTTTTCTTAAACTTTCCTTTGCCAACAAAGGTCTCGATGGCGTCAACTTAGGCAATATCCTTCGTCATAAATTAGTTCAGTCGAAAATACCACCTTATTTTAAAGATCAGTCTGTACCAATAATTTCTTATACCTATACCAAACCAATTGCAACTAAAATTTTCAATTACAAACACGTTTTGCAGGATCTCAACATTGACGACTTCAAGTCTAAACCTCCTGATTGCACCTGTGCTAGTTCCCAATTCACATATAATCCGGCTGTCCACGTTATTACCGGAGACCTCAACATTGTCAATAACACTTCCCTGCGAAATTTGTTATCCAAAGGTCCGAAATATCGTGAGCCTAAATCCATCAATTGGAAACACAACTTCAAAATACTGATGGATTCAGTCGAGGATTATGCCAGGCAATGGGCTAAACGCGAGAAAGAAGACGTAGATACTCTTTCCGAATGGATTAAGGCTGTGAGGTCGTTGATACAAATCCGAATTAAGAAACTAAATGGGCATATCAATACCCACGCTACGTCAATTTTTAAAGACCCAAATGTTGCAAAACACTTGTCCTACCTCCATGACAAATATGTTGTTGTCCCCGCAGATAAAGCCCCAAACAACATCGTTTTTGTGTGTAAATATCATTACATAGACTGCTTGATAAATGAATTAGGTATTGACAATTCACTTGGAAACTCAACATATACACTCACGACACTTACCAAAGAGGAAATCCTGGATAATCATAGGTCTGTTCTATGTTCCTTTGAAATTTCAACCAAAGATGAAGAACTGGATCTTCCATCACTGTATTGGATACCTAAACTACATAAGTGTCCTTACAAACAACGGTATATTGCTGGGTCTTCCAAGTGCTCCACGAAACCTCTTTCTAAATTATTAACATCTATTTTATCAGCAATCAAAACCGGGCTCCAAAGTTATTGTGAAACTGCCTATTCTAGAGGTGGCGTGAATCAGATGTGGATACTAAATATTCCAAAGATCTTTTAGAGTACATACAATCTAAGACTCTCTCATCTTGCAATAGTATTAAAACATTTGACTTTTCTACACTTTACACAAGTATTCCTTATTCCAAACTAAAAGACAAATTGAAAGAGTTGGTATTACTTTGTTTCATTAAAAAGAATGGCGAACGTAGATACAAGTATCTTGTCTTGGGGAGGGATAAATCCTACTTTATAAAGAATCACTCTGATTCAAACAAAAACTTCTCTGAAACTGACATTATCAAGATGCTTGATTTCTTGATTGACAACATATTTGTTACGTTTGGAGGACGTGTTTTTCGACAGACTGTCGGAATTCCAATGGGAACCAATTGTGCCCCTCTTCTTGCCGACTTGTTTCTTTATTATTATGAGGCTGACTTCATACAGGAACTTCTTAGGAAGAAAAATAAGAAGTTAGCAATATCCTTTAACTCTACAATGTATAGATATAGATACATCCAGATTGAGGAAAACAACATCCCAGTTAAATGCGTCCGATATTTTTTGGCTTCTTGGCATTAAAACAGAGACCGATCTTGAATTAGATTAGCTGATTAATATCAAATAATAAGTTCATTAATGTTTCTTGTATTTATATTTAACCCCCTTTTTTAGGCGCCACTTAGGGGCATTCAGTTTTTCGGTCTGTGCGTCCGTTCGTTCGTGTGTCCGTGCGTCCCTTCGTTTGTCCGTCTGTTCGTTCGTCCGTCTGTCCCGTTTTAGGTTAAAGTTTTGGTCAAGGCAGTTTTTGATTAAGTGGAAGTCCAACCAACTTGAAACTTAGTACACATGATCCCTATGATATGATCTTTCTCAATTAAATGCTAGATTACAGTTTTTATCCCAATTTCATAGTTCACTGAACATAGAAAATGATAGTACGAGTGGGGCATCCGTGTACTATGGACACATTCTTGTTTAATATTTTGTTAGTTTTAAGTTAAACAAAGCTGTGAAATACGTGTACGCTACAAATCACCTACCAACATTAACACGCTAACTGAAGCACCATGTTTTTTTAATACAAAACTAATTTTGAATATCTATTAGTTGATAATTCATATTTTAATGCTCCTCAGGAGCATTTACAAACAAATTCAAAATTGGTTTTGATAAACAAAAAAAATCAATAGTCTTGGCCTTGATTATTGTAGGACTACATGTTCAAGGTATGAAAATAGATGATGTGACGTGTTTTCATATTCTATATTTAGTATCTATCGGGCTATTTAAAAACATGATTTACCTAGCTAATCAAATGAAAAAAAATTCACGGGAAAATGGCCCTACCTCTTTATTCACTTTAACTTTTTCTTGCTAAATCAAAGATTGATTAAAGGAGAGAAGATACCAATGTGTAACCATAAGTCCAGTAAACCAGACAACACCACCAAGGTGTAACCATAAGTCCAGTAAACCAGACAACACCACCAAGGTGTAACCATAAGTCCAGTAAACCAGACAACACCACCAAGGTGTAACCATAAGTCCAGTAAACCAGACAACACCACCAAGGTGTAACCATAAGTCCAGTAAACCAGACAACACCACCAATTTGTAACCATAAGTCCAGTAAACCAGACAACACCACCAAGGTGTAACCATAAGTCCAGTAAACCAGACAACACCACCAAGGTGTAACCATAAGTCCAGTAAACCAGACAACACCAAGACCCAAAAAAAACCAAAATGAACACACATAACACTAAGGTTTGAGCAGCACGAGCCCACCAAAATCCGTGTGCTCCATTAAGGTCTTCAGGTTTCCTCAAATAGTGACAACCGCTGTGTTACTATAAATACGTTATAAAGCGTTATTTTTTTATACTAGAATTCATCTAGTAATCTTCGTTCAAAAATTTCTGATAAACAGGACGACTTTTCCAGTCTTGTTATTACATAACGAACAAAAAGGGAACGAAAAAAAAACCACATACAACAATCGCAAACATAAAAGGTATGGATGTCACAAAGCTGAAACAAGCAATAAGACATGCAAAGTGGGTCGACCGGGATGAAGGGTGGACAATTTAGACTGCCATTTGAAAAAGGTATGTTCGATAGGGGCAGACATTTTGCCTTGCAACAGGCCAGTAACGGACACCTCAAAGAGATGATGCAAGGGTTCTTTAGCGCACAGAGAGTGAAGCGTTCTCCTTTATACCAGACTTAGTTTGTAACGTCCTCATTCTGACCAGACGTGACTGCGTATATATACATCCTGCACAGCTAAATAGGAGATTATCATCAAAAGTTAGTAATAACATATGGCATTGTCCAAAATGTTTGTTGTTGTCGATTTACATATATGATTTTTTTATTTTTTTCAAGGGGATGGGGAGAGATGTTGCTGTGTAGATAATATCATAGTATGTTTGAGTCATCAGATCATTTTTTTTGTTTTGTTTCACCATTAAATAAGCAAATAAAATAGATGAATATTGACGATTGTGATAAATAATAATAATAACAACAATAATAATAATAACAAAATAGAAATCATAATATATATTACACGGTAACAATTTTACTTGCCGTACGAGCATTTCGACAAATTAAAATATCTTCAGTGATGCCCGAGTTGTTGTTTATCCCCATATTGCAGACATATGCATGACTATTCCAGGGCTTCACCACACTATGCTAGTTTACGAAGCGTTTCTAGTTTCAATATTAGCAAGATTTGCTTACAGACGATTAGAACCAGAACTTCTAAGTAGATTAGAATTCCAAGACGAGGTTCAGAAAACTGATGACAACAAAGTAAATGGAAATGTAAGTTATAGATATATCAGAAAAAAAATACAAAATTCAATTCCAATAATTGTATTCTCCGCGTTTTCATAAATCAACGTTACCATGTACTCTCAATTTCAAAAATTTAAATAACCAAAATTATACATTGATTAATTATAAGTTGTGTGTCCAGATTACTGCGATCATATCTCAGGCTTACATAACTGCATGATACAACACTATACGTACGAAACTAGTTTAGTTATTCATTCAATTCACTGCAAAGAGATTTTGGTTATAAATGTCAAAAGAAAGCAAGCAACAAAAAACAACAGTTAAGCAAATTGACATTAAGAAGTCGTCATACTTTCTTAATTATGCGTCAGAGACAACATATGACTATTTAAGGGCTTCAACACACTATGCTAGTTTATGAATCGTTTCTACGTTCATTTTTAGCAACTCTCAATGCACCAAGTATAAAAGACTGTTCGCTGTCGTTTATTTTATAGACTAATTGATGCCAATATGATAGAAAATAAAAATAAAAATTGATGAAATAATTAATAAAAAAACAACAAGATTTCCGAAACCTGAACATTGCTACACTTGAACAAAGTATATGCGAAAAGGACAGAAGTTTTAATCATGCAAATGCCGAAGTTCTTACGATACCGTGGTTATCAATCCAGCATCAAATAGCAATAAACACGCGAACTCAAAATCGACTATCGTTCTGAACATGAAATATTTGCCACTGGACGTTAAGCAATCAACAATCAATCAATCAATCAATCAAAGCCGACTACTAACGATGCTCGTTTCCTTAATTAACCACATCAGTTTTACTACTAAAAGATAGGAACACAAAATCAAAGGGGTATAAACATGCCCGTATCATTAGCAAAACATGTACGTAACTGTAAGCTCTAAATATTTAGATTCATTATCAGTTTTAAAAAAAAACATTGTCGGTTGCAAAACACACACATTTAATGATAATGCAGACGCGGTCAGACTAACATAGGTCACTAAACAGGGAGCTCGAAGCTTATACTTAAGAAAACAAAGTCATATATTACGATATTTCACTCGAATCTACTAAAATGTTCTCTTCTGTGGTATAAACATCCAACACACATTGATTTCTTTTTATCAAAAATGTTATTGTTTTGCATTCTTGCATTAATATTATTATGTTATTTTATCTAAAATTATATCAGTCTTTAGAATGACAAGTTTGATTATTATGTCATCTTATTAATGATACCAGTCTTTGGAATGTCAAATCTTATTATTATTTTCCAGGTTTAAAGACATTGATATTTATTCCAACTACTCGTATCTTTGTTTTTAAGTAGCATGTGTTTACTTGTATGTTTCATTACTTAAATATAACTTTAAAAGAGTAGACGTCGAAACGATAAGAGTGAACAGAAGATGAAAGATAGTTACAAAAGACAATTAGACTGTGGTACTTGTTCGTGAACATTTATTCTGGAGAAAACAATTTGAAATCTATGAGTTATTTGAAATCGAAATTGTCTGATACAGGAATTAACGAATCTTACAAACCTGTTCGTGCATTTTTCATTGTTATTCAACGCAAAATAATTATCTAAGATACCTGGGACGGTCCATGTCCACTCTGTGATTTGTTAGATGTATTTCTGTCTGTACCCATCTGATGAGATAAGCCTTTTTCAACTTATTTTTTTTAGTTTATTCTTATGTTGTACTGTTACAACACTGTCCCAGGTTAGTGGGAGGATTGGCGCCTTCAAATAAGTTTAACCCCGCCACGTTCTGTATGTGTCTGTCCAAAGTCAGGAGCCTGTAATTCAGTGGTTGTCGTTTGTTACTGTGTACACATTTGTTTTTCGTTCATTATTTTGTACATAAATTAGGTCGTTAGTTTTTCTAGTTTGAATTTTTTTACATTTTTAATATGGGACCTTTAAAGCTGACTCTGCTGTATGGGCTTTGCTCATTGTTGAAGGCCGTATTGTGACCTATAGTTGTTAATTTCTGTGTCATTTAGTCTTTTTTGGAGAGTTGTCTCATTGGCAATCATACCACATCTTTTTTTTTATGGAAGTCTGGTTCTTCTTTATAGTTGGTGACGAGTCCTGTTGACTGCACTTTATGGCAAAGACACTGGGAATATTGGAAAAACAACCTTTGATATTGATTCTTAGAAAGGCTGATCTGGCAGAATTCTAGACAACAGCTTCGTTATCAAAAAAAGGAAGTTGTTGGGTTCAGGTGAATCTGACGTTGGGTGTTAGCAGTCTTCAATAGTGCAGAGAATGTTGTATTAATGTCCTCTGACTTCCCTAGTAAAATTGTAAAGACTTCTGGAAAAATCTCTCCATCAACAAGTACGTGTAAAGTGTAGAATGTAAATGAGTTTATACCTTTTTTTTTAAATTGCATACATTATTTATTCAAAAACTTTATAGAGAAAATGTCATTAAAATTACGGTATTGAAATTTGTTTTATAAATAACGTAACATTGTAGATATATTTCATAAATCAGAAATAAATTTTTTTTAATCAAAAGTGCATTAATCTAATGATTTAAAAAACATTTTTTTTTATACTTCTATAAAATTAATATTAAATGTGCAATAAATTAATTCTTGTTTATTTAGCAAAACAAACAACAGTTACATTGTTTATCTAAGAACATTTTACTTCATAAAATAATGTGGGACAATCAGAACTTTTCATGTGGGACAATCAGAACTCTAAAATTTTAAAAAGTGGGACAATCGGGAATAAACCGAACGTAGGTCTTTAAGTTGAGGTTCTATTTACTAAAAGTTAATCGGGCAAAATAGGATCGGGGAAAAAAACAGCCAGCCAAATACCATTATTTACAATTTCAGAGAATCAAAGTGCTTTTGGCTGATTATCTCCGGCCAATAATCAGACGGTATTTGAGTGGAAATACAAACCTGTCCGAAAAGAGAAAAGGGAGGGGGGCTAATAGCTTAACTTGCAATTTTGATCATGGTTTAACTTTATTCTTGTACGGCATACATTTTACCTCAAGCCAACGATCTGTCTTCTTAAACTGTCACTCTAACATTGTTAACATTTGCTTCAGGTCGTTCCACTTTGCATCTCGTCGTGAATATGCATGACATATTTCCCACTGGACGTTAAGGGAGCAATCAATTAATCAGCTTCATCAAGTGATGTATTAATTTATCATTAGTCTTCAGTTGATAATTATCTCAAACCGTTTTCCAATTTTTATATATTTGATTTTTTAAGCGAGGATTTCAATAGAAATGACATTTTTGAATTTGCATTTATATGGATAGGTTTGAAAACGTCTATAATAGGGGATGCTACATATGAAAAATATGTTGAATATTTTTTGCAAATAGATTCGGTTTTATCTGAAATAAAAGATATTACAAACAACTCAATAAATGTTAACTTTAGTTCGAATTTTCAATTATACCAATGCTAAAATACAAATGTCGATGGTAAAAGGGCGACAAACAATGGGATTGATTTATAATATGATGTTTGAAGAACAAGAATAGAATCATAATTAAATAGTGTAAGGACTTTGGATGTTTTATGATTTTCATGATTTTATTTAAGATTTTTTTCCACCAATAGCAAGAAGATCTGCAATAAACGTAAATTTTAGAATTTCTTTCCTCATTTTTCTCTTTCCATTTAATTTTAATGTTTTAACATTAAATAAAGTAGTCCACATGAGGGGTTACATTGTATCCTATCAAGCCAAACTAGGGGAGGGGAGTAGAACAGGAAAAAAAATCTTCATTGAGTGGCAATAACTCATATATTGAAGCGTACAACGATGACAGTCATGCCTAGGTAACAAAATTTGTTGTTTCAAGTTATTTTTTTCTGGTATAGTTGTCATAAAAGCAAAAATGGATAAAACATGTTTAAAGGGCAACAATTTATATAAGGATTCAACTTATTTTGGCCGTTTCATTTATTTTTTAGATATTGTCTTACTGATCGGTTTTGTTATTTAAAGTTTTTCTCCATCTTCAATAATTATTGTCTTTGCAAAAGGCGCACAAAAAATGTGTTTAAATCAGCCATGCGACTTATCTGAAGATTTAGCTAACCTTTCTTGTTGTTTAAAGATTTCAATCATTTAACTTGTGCGTAGATCGTATTTCCCCCTCAAAGAGTTATTCAAATGGTTCTTTAATGTATAGATAGCTTGAAACTATCTCTACACGAGGCATCGGATATACGACATTTCTATTCGACCGGACGTAGCTGCGTATTCATAGATCCGCACAGCAAAACGGACGCACTCTTTTAGCAAGTGTTTACTGTCGGCCGGTAGAAGTCCAGAAATGTCAATATTTCTATACCCAAGTCAATCCGTTGGTTTTGAATAAAAGGAGATAAAGGTATACATGAATGCGACAGCAATCCAACGACACAGATAAATCAAAACATTAAGAGTCAATATACAGTCTTTTGTAATATAAAGATGTCTATATATAATAATAAGCTCAAAACCGCCCCATGATAAAAATACGGAGTAAATTTGATATTATTTACCGTCAAAATATCCAAACAGACACAAGTGTGTGGTTGTAAAATATCACCTGCCCTTTTTAATTTAATCTGGATATCAAAGAAGGTGTAATATAAACCACTAGGAGAAAAACACTTCACTATATAGTAACGGTAAAATAAATGATGATAATGGATGGCTGCCTAACGTCCAGCGGCACATTAAAAGCATTTCAGGACAGGAACATGTAAATATCTAATGAATATTAACCCAGCTTTGTACTAGACCGACACGTTTAACGTGTAAATATAAAAATAAGAAGATGTGGTATAATTGCCAATGAGACACGTCTCCACTAGAGATCAAATGACATAGAAGTTAATAACCATAGGTCACCGTACGGCCTCCAACAATGAGCAAAACCCATACCGCATAGTCAGCTATAAAAAGCCCCGAAATGACAAATGTAAAACAATTCAAACGAGAAAACTAACTGCCTGATTTATGTAAAAAAACAATAAACGAAATACAAATATGATATACAGGAACAAACGACAACCACTGAATTACAGGCTCCTGACGTGGGACAGGCACACACAGAATGTGGCGGGGTTAAACATGTTAGCGGGCGCCCAACCCTCCCCTAACCTGGGACAGTGGGTAACAGTATAACATATGAACAAACTATAAACATCAGTTGATAAGGGCTTAATTATCTCATCAGATTAATAAGCTCATAGATAACAGTTCGGAGGAAGAAAAGTTACCCTACCCGGACACATTTATGACTCAGAGCCGACCAGTCTTTTCTCGCACTCTTAAATACCGCGTGTTGAGCGTTGAAACAGCATATACCATTTTTTTTGTCTTTGTTTGACCCGGTCGGGGTTTGAACCAACGACCTCCCGCTCTCGAGGCGAAAACGCTCCCACGACACCAACTAGGAGGTCGGTAGTATAGAATATCATACCAAAAACTCAATTACAATAAACAATACAGTTTCACAGAATTCTCACAATTACTAAAGCGAGCTGAAAGTATTTAACCTAAATTAGATACGTTAAATGATATTGGAAACTTCACGTAAATATCTATGGCCAACTTCAGAGTAGAATTCATGGATCAACGCTCTCTGCAAATTAAAAACTCTTGCACCAATTATTTGAAGGGTCCGGATGTGGCCAGCTATTGCAAGGCTAAATTTCTGTCCTTATCCAATGTACCCTCATTTTCCAGTGGTATCGAAGTTTTACGTCCAACCTCACTGTCGACCTCCTATTGCAGGACCTACCTATTGTATTTAAAATTTATGTGTTCTCGTCATGAACATGCATGAAATATTTGCCACTGGACGTAAAACAAACAACAATCAATCAACTTCATATATTATTCCATGTACATAGTACACGAAGACAAGATCTTGTACAATGCTCTAATGTAAAATTTCCATTTAAATCACTCAATAATATTGCAAAATGTTTTATGTTTTTATTTTTGTTATTTATTTTGCAATTTTCTACATGACGGAACACTATAAAAACATTTTTTTAAATATTTTTTTTACTAAGGTTCTTATCTACTGTTTTATTACGCTTTATACTATATGATTATGTCAGGTAATTATAAAACTAAGAAAGGTAAAAAATATTTTCAAAACAAAATTTATTAATAAAATTTGACTGAACAGACAACACTATTTTTTTGCATTTACATGTTACGTCGTGTAGGAATTACAGAATCAAAACCAAAATGAACATTTACCTGAATATTGTGAAGGACCTTATGGATCTAGGTCTGTTCGATTAGAAGTTGTGAAACAAGCTGTTTGAATAACTAATTGTTGGAAGAGTTTACTTACAGTTTTCATATGGTCTGGGCTGATATGCATAAAACCACTTAAGTTAAGATATCCAATCGTAGTACTAATCTATCGTAGGACATGTAGAAAAATCCGTCCGTTCGGAACAAATCTTAACTTAAGTAGTTTTATGCATATCAGCCCTGGTCTTTACGAATCTATTTCATGATTACTGACAGATTAAACACATCAAATATATATAACAAGAAGTTCTTGTGCAGAACATTCATTGGTCAGTTGTAAATGAGGTCTGTATAGGGTTTTAATTTACTCATTTATAAAATAAAAAATCATTATTTTGAAAAGTTAGAATTCAAAAATATAAGTTTACCCCTAAATTTTATAAAACTGTCCTATGGTGTTATTCTAAAGCTACAGAATTTATAATAACTAAATAATTAAATGATGTACTGCCATTTAATCGGTCCTTCCAATGCAATTAGGTAACTGTTATTTGTATTTATCATATACTTATAGAAAATAATGGTATAATTGTACCCCACGATAAAACTTATTTGTACATATATTTATTCATTAAATTTGAAGAATTGCCTTAGCCGTGTGATATGACTTTTGTTATCAACTGCTTCCGGTTTATATCAACTGCTTCCGTTTCATACCAACTGCTTCCGGTTATTATCGCATATTTTTCTGTAACGTTATCGCATGACAGTTCGACGTCATTCGGCAAATTCCGGAAAATGTACCTCAATGGTACGTTTTTTTTTTTAGTAAAACATAACAAAGTTGGAGAAAAAGAAAATATTAATAATCAGGAAAATATATTATTTCAAAATACAAAACAAATATTACAACAAATGCATTGTTTCAAAGTTTTAAAAATAGTTTTGTCTGTATGTCTTCTGCTGAAGTGTATGATAAAAAGAACATAACATGTCGTTTTTCATATCAGACCCCTTATCAGTCCATATGGTCAAAATCATCCCTCGAGCCTGTCGGCTCTCGGGCTGATAACATGATCTAGGGCTGATAAGGGGTCTGATATGAAAAAGGCCATGTTATAATCTATATATATCAGTCTGAGTACTGTTTAACTATCATTTAAGTTGAATATATTTAGATTCGTCCAATTCATGGGAATTAGCCTTCTGCAAGTGTTTTTTTGCGTACTTTTCTTATGTTTTTGACGGTTTGTAAGTCAGTAAAAATTCAATGATTAAGTTAAAATTGACATTAAAAGACCTCCTCACAAAAAGGGCTGTTCAAATCCCCTCGCACTTCGGGCTCGGGGATCTCAACATCCCTTCTTGTTCGAAGGTCTTTTAATATCAATATTAACTTATCATTGAACTTTTACTATTACTAACACCATTTCTGATTTTAATCATAGTTTGCATCGACTTAGATTTATCTTCACTGTTATTGTTCTTTTGTTTGTTTTGATACATGGATGTCTTTATATGGTTGTCGAGGTCTTAATCTAATGATATTAAAATTTATGTTTTTTAAGACTTGTATCAATACTCATCACAAATTTTATATGAACATAAAATGACTAGTCGTCAAAACACAACTGTCTGGTTTTTTTTTTATTTTATCTAAACAGTTTACGTTTGAAATAAATTAATCTAGGAATCCTTATAAACTGTACAAAATACAACCATCCGTCGCCCATTGTCTATCGTCCAACTGTTTAACGTATCGTCAGATATCAAAATTAGCATTGAACTCAGCTTGTTATTGTTGGTTAAGGCGTTCTGCTGCGGCACCAAATAGTAGCTCATATAACCGATGACCAGTGTGATCTATTGCAAACACCTTGCGTCTGTCGTCCGTCGTTTTAAACTTGTTCGAAGATCTTCTTCTCTGAAACTAATGAACACATTTCAATAAAACTTCACAATATTGGTCTTTAGAGTATCCAGATTAACGTTTGCTTATTTTATTCCGCTTCATCAACACACATTGCCTCCATGGTTAAACGCGATTTGCATACAATTATGTGAACCTTGAGTTAGTTAAACGTCTCCTGATTGTTTCACCATTCAAAAGTGTTTATTGTATGTAACAGTACATTTAATTTTGACTTCTCAAATAAGTGAAGAATTATCTCTCTTTGTTCGTTGTCCATTGAATAACTAGTTAAGTTAGAAAGCTTTAGAGATATATTAGTGTTTTATTTTTAAGACGCATAGGTATGTTTCGTGTTAACTTTTACGACATATGGCCTGCATAGGAGGGAGATCGTTTGTAAAGCTGGAAAACTCGTTCAAATCGACCACATGTTGCCTGTGCAAAACCAGGTTATCTAGCCCGTATTTTGTTCATGGTTTGTTCTTTTTGTATTTTCTTCATTCATTAGATGGTTGTTGGTAAATGTCGTAAAGGGCAATAGTAGAAAAGACGTGTTTTTTTTTGACACACGGAAATGCTGAGATTATAAGTTCTATGGACGCAATGATACATATTTATTTCAGTCATGAAAGGTTTGTTTAGAAGAAAAGAAATCTTGGGGTGTATTTGGCCCTGTAAATTCGCAGGAAAAAAATGTGTGACACTCTAGGTAATCAAATTTTTAAGCGTCAGACGTAAGGCCTTCAGAAAATGTAAATATAAGGCATTGTTGATATAATGTGACTGTGACATCATTAAAGCGACGTTATATGTAAATATATTTTTACAGAGAACAAGCGTCGCACAGTACAATTGTTTTTGACAGTGAATAGATAAAGACAAAATAGAATGTATACTGTGTAAATATTGCATGTGAAGGCCAAAAAGTCAAAATTTTTCGCAGCTTTGAAATTAATCGAATTTCCTATCATTTTATGTCTGTATTACCCACGGAAAGGGTATATTGTAAACCAAAACTGCAATCAATCAATCAAGTACAAAGATTCAACATTTGGTTCTACAAATTAGAAACAGTTTGATATACTTCTGATTTGAGGCCAATTTGGTCACAAACCGTACCATGTCATTTTATATAAGTGTTTCTCAATGTTTTGAAATATTGTACGCAGTAAATTATTTCTTTAGCTCATTTAATGATATCGACCATCATAACCGCGTATTCACGTGTCAAGATTCTATTCAAATAATTTGATTTTGGCCTTTTCTTGTTGAAATGATTGTCGTGTTACACCTGAGTATATCGTCGGTGAGTGGATTAATAGATTGGTATTTCATTGTTGTTTCTAGTCATAAAATGTAATGAACAGGAAAAGTACAGAGATGTAGCCACAATTTCACTCTATTGGAATTTTTGGCATTTTTTAGCTCTTCAGCGTTATTGATCTGGCATTCCATCTTTGTTTTTTTTATTCTTGCGCTGCATTTAGATGAAATGCGTGTCTAGCGCAATATATTACCAGACTGGAATATGTGATGACTGTTGCACTAAAAGGGCAAGGAAAAAACCCACCAAATTGACTCTTTCTTTGTCTTCTAAATTTATTTTAAATTGTTGAAATAATTGAAAAACCTGTAAGTTTGCTGTCGTTAAAAACTGTTGTTGAATGCCAAGTTAAAAGATGGAAAAGAAATCCATAAAAGGGAAAATAGATCAAAGCATTAAATATATGAACATTAAATTCTGTTATCAATAAAGCGTTTGATATTGAAAGTTTAATTTGGTTATAAAACTTTGTGATTCTCTGATGTGTACCTGATGAGGTTACTTCAAGAAGTCCGTGTTCTCATTGTTTTGGTGTCTGATGTACCTAATGAAGTTACTTCTAGAAGAAAGTGTTCTCAATTTTTTATACCCCCGCTTTAAAAAAGTGGGGGTATACTGTTTTACCTCTGTCTGTCCATCCGTCCATCCGTCAGTCTGTCAGTCCGTCAGTCCGTCCATCCGTCCCATGAAAATTGTTCGTCACATCTTTCTCAGGAACTACAATACAAGGATTTCTGAAATTTGGTTTCAGGGTTTATATAAGTCAGTTATACCGTGTGATGCGTTTTCAGATTGATCACTCAACAACTTCCTGTTTACCGAACACTTACATCATTTTACACAACACATCCAAGTTGAAAATTTTCGTCACATTTTTCTCAGGAACTACATTACAAGGATTCCTGAAATTTGGTTTCAGTGTTTATATAAGTCAGCTATACCGTGTGATGCGTTTTCAGATTCATCACTCAACAACTTCCTGTTTACCGTCAAGTATTTGGGCTGGGGGTATCATCAGTGAGCAGTAGCTCGCAGTTTCACTTGTTGGTGTCTGATGTACCTGATAAAGTTACTTCAAGAAGTCCATGTTCTCATTGTTTTTATGTCTGATGTACCTGATGAAGTTACTCCAAGAAGTCCATATTCTCATTGTTTTTGGTATCGGTTGTGCCTAGTGAAGTTACTCCAAGAACTACATGTCCTCATCATTTTGGTGTCTGGTTTACCTAATGAAGTTATTTCAAGAAGTACGTGTTCGTATTGTTTTGGTGTCAGATGTACTTGATGAAGTAACTTCAAGAAGTATGTGTTCTCATTATTTTGGTGACTGATGTATCTGATGAAATTACTACAAGAAGTCCGTGTTCTCATTGTTTTTGGTGTCTGATGTACCTAGTGAAGTTACTTCAAGAATTACATGTCCTAATCATTTTGATGTCTGGTGTACCTAATGAAGTCACTTCAAGAAGTACGTGTTCGTAATGTTTTGGTGTCTGGTGTACTTGATGAAGTTACTTCAAAAAGTACGTGTTCTCATTATTTTGGTGTCTGATGTACCGTATGAAGTTCTTTCTAGAAGAAGGTGTTCTGAATGTTTTGGTGTCTGATGAAGCTTCTTGAAGAAGTACGTGTTTTCATTGTTTTGATGTCAGGTGTTCCTGATGAAGTTACTTCACGAAGTACGTGTTTTCATTGTTTTGGTGTCGGGTGTACCTGACGAGGTTCTTCAAGTAACTTCAAGAAGAACGTGTTCTAAGCGTTTTTGGTGTAGAGTGTACCTAATGAAGTAACTTCAAAAAGTACATGTTCTCATTGTTTTGGTGTCTGGTGTACCTGATGAATTTAGAAGAAGGACTATTCAAGTTCTCATTGTTTTGGTGTCTGGTGTAACTGATGAATTTAGAAGAAGGACTATTCAAGTTCTCATTGTTTTGGTGTTTGGTGTACCTGATGAAGTTAGAAGAAGTACTGTACAAATTCTCATTGTTTATGGTGTCTAGTGTTCCTGATGAAGTTAGACAAGTACTATATAAGTTCTCATTGCTTTGGTGTCAGGTGTATCTGATGAGGTTAGAAGAAGTACTATACAAGTTCTCATTGTTTTTGGTGTCAGGTGTACCTAATGAGGTTAGAAGAAGTACTATACAAGTTCTCATTGCTTTGGTGTCTGGTGTACCTGATGAGGTTAGAAGAAGTACTACAAATGTATACAAGTTCACATTGTTTTGGTGTCAGGCGTACCTGATGAAGTAAGAAGTACTATACAAGTTCTCATTGTTTTTGGTGTACCTGATGAAGATGATTAAAGAACGACTTGTTTAGCTATCATTGGGACCATAACAATAGTATTATCATTAACTAGAATTTAAGAGGTTCATTTTACTTTCAATAATGTTTTTTTAACTTTTTTTAGGTTGTCCTGATCTTTATGCAATTATTCTGTGTACACTTCCATCTACATGAACAGTCCTATATGTTTGTATTATCACTTCCTTGATCAGTATACATCTTTTAGAAGTATTGGAATATGAAATAAATGTATACCTCTAGTCATGCAATGAATTTGATTACAATATAAACACCATAGGGTTTTTAAACCACAGCTGCAACAAAGCAAAATTTGTATCCTACTACTGTTAAATAATTATTATCTTTGTTTGAAATCTCTTTACGTAGTTTTACGTACAATGTAACAGTATGATGAACAAATAATTGTAAAGAATTATTAACTTAAGGATCATAAAAGACCATACATTAAAAATAGATTTATCTTTTTATCGTGAGTTTAAAATTAATTCGTGGTGATTTCCCTAACATAATATCTCTAAGTGTGGATTTTCATTAGACTAGTCTGAAATATAGCACTCCTAGTTCGAAGTTAACCAGTTTTTAATATCTCATACTATTGATTTTTGCATATACGCGTTCCTTTCCACAGTTTTTTAATACCAAGCACCGTTTCTGATAGAAGTATAACTTTCATGGCTAAATAACAAATTATGTTTGCTTTCAGTTAATTGCTAAGATTTCTTATAATATTGTTGCTTTAAGTCCAGCAGCCATACCCCATACTTTATTACTTAGAAACAAGCTAAAACTACAACTGTCGTTAAAAATGTAATTCATCTCTTGTGACGAATTTCAACATATGTGATAAATAATTTAACTGCAAACATTATTTCTTTAATTAATGCCGAGGGAATTTTTTTTTGTTTTGGAATATATTATATTCAACAATTCAGAACTTAGCAATTTTTTTAATCAGGTTTTCCCTAATTACAAGTCACGTGGTTTTGGAAACGATGGCAACAGTTGTATTTTGAAAACGTTATACAAAAGTGGTAAAATATTTCACAATTTGATATCCTGTATCACATCTGGCTATTTATTACGTA